GGGGGGGGGGGGGGGGTCTTGTAACTGCCTTGGTAATTTTTGTCTTGCCAACCAAAACAATTATTGGTTCTTTTTGTTCTTTTAAAAACGTCTGTGTACAAATTCAGCATGGACGAATTATGTTATAGATTCTGATCTGCCTCCATTCTTTTACAAAATCTACATGAATTTTGTTTATATAGATTGCATTTTTTACTGTATTTTGTAAAGTCGGATTGACACTTTTTTAACTCGTCAGTCAAATCATTAACTGTACATCCAAGAAAAAAACAAACGTATTTTTGTAACATTGATTTGGTATATAAATGGGTTTTTCCTATTCATTTGTGTGCAGAATGAAGTTCACCCATGAAACGTAATGTGCTGTGTCATTATACTGGCAGGCCGCGGAAGCGGGACACACTCCTGATGGCTTGGTTCGTTACTCTTAATAGCACAACAATAGAAACATCTGTCCAGCCTTTCTCTGCCTATTACCAATCCGTCTGTCCTTGATCCCAAAAAACACTACAGCTCTGCATGGTACAGGATGACTTACATTCAGCAATCTGTATACTTGAGTCATTTTTTTTTTATTAAAAATATATATTTATTTATTTTGTGTGTCAGACCTGTCTTATTTCAGCTGAATGTCATGACGATTTGTAGCCTATATACATTATATTGATCATATCTACAGTCATATGTGCATGCGTATAAACATTTCTCTGACGTTTGTAGCAGGCACTAATGTAGGCTATATGTATATTAATGCAAGCAGAAGCCCCCAGGTGAACCCGGAAGTTTTCTACACCCAAGGCATTAAGGAGGTTCTGCAAAACTAATTGCATTTATTCATGAATTATTCACGCGTATGATGAGACTTCATGGCCATCTGCTTGTTGTAATAAAGCATCATCGGTATAACACTCCATTCAGTTCCCTCATTCTTATTATTATCTTTATTATTTTCGGTATAACAGTTGTGTGAGGTTGGTCATGCTATACATCCAGAAGAGGCATTCCTGTTTAATAGCAATGGGGTGCAACTTCCTTAATAAGTGACGTCAAAGGAGCCGCGATCAGCGCGCATGCGCGGCAAGCAGAGCGGCAGCCGTAGCACGGAGCACGGAGCAGTGCGCGAAACAACAGCAGACATGGCAAGAGATGGCGAGGGACGAGAGCACACTGACACCATGCACTGCTGAAGGGACGGGGGCCTTAACATTTCAAAAAAATTACAAAACTTTATAAAACATAGACAAAAGGGAAGAAAAAAATCAGGAAAGAACGCAAAGAAAAAATACTCAAGATAACAACAGAACTTTTCCAATGAGAGCACTTCTGTGGACACTGCTTCGCTATATCAGATAGATGATTTGTCCACACGCTTGCACGTATAATGAACGCCCAGCTGTCGATGGAGAACATTGGCGATCTGCACGGATTGAGCCATGATCCCAGCGCGGCGGATCTTATGACCGGAGACAGCGCTCATCGCTCGCAAGGGACGCTTTCGGACCTGCTACGGAACCCTAAGCCCTGGAGCAAGCTCAAGTCTGGCCGGGAAACCTTCCGCAGGATGTGGAAATGGTTGCAGGAGCCTGAGTTCCAGAGAATGTCCGCGCTCAGGCTCGCAGGTGAGAGAACAATAGGTAATACATTTCTTCTCTTCTCCTCAGTGTATCACTCTCATTTCATTTCCTTCAAAAGCATTTCACGAGTGAGCAGCATTCACCGTTTTTGTTGCGCTTTTGGGGGGTTTCCTACATAGCTTCCTTTTTGTTTTGGTTGTGACATTTTATTCTGTGCTCGTTGTGCTACTTTGATTTACACTGATACCTTCAAACTTGAGGTTGCGTTCTCGATGTATAATATTGACCGCCTAGGTAAAGTGACTAAAAAATCCAGAAAATTGTTGGATCTTTATTATTATTATTATTATCATCATTATAAACTACTGCAATTCTAATTACATGACAGTTAGTTTTAGCTTCTTTTTGTTTTGTGAGATTATTTCTTACTCAGTTAAATGATATTGAAATTAGTGAAGGTTTCAGACACAGTGATGTATATTATTGATTAAGTACATATGGTTGAGGGTATGTGATCGGCCTACTGAGAGGTATATATAGAATTGGTATATTGATTATTCAAATTCAGTTCCCTTCTCCTTTTCCTTAGTAATGTAAGACAGTAGACCATTCAGCAGTCTTTCACATCACTGCTCTTTTACACCTTTTACGCACTCGTGATTCTTATGCCGTGAATTTGCAGTGCACGATTGTATTTTCAACTGAATTTTGTCTCAGCTCTTTATATTTATATTTCAGCATATGGTTTCGTATGAGTAGGGCTTAATATGTTGTTTGCTAAAAAGTGATCCTGGTCTAATTTTAATAGAAAAAGAAAACTCAGTGTCATTCAGTGTTTTTTGTTATACCTAAATAATTAGTATTTGCGTAATTTTGTAATAAGGTAATAAATGAAAATAACCTTTTAATTTGAACAAAGCGACATTCTTTAAGCTGTTTGTCGATCATTGTTAATCGTTTTGCGATTGATATAATTTTGGGAAGAAATTATTGTATTCTTATAAAAAAATAGTTGGCCAAATAGTGACCATGGAAGTATATCAAATAGTATATTACAAATTGTTTAATTTTACATCTAATCTGCCATTTTATTCAGGTATATATAGTCTTTTCAAACTATATCTGAACCCAAATGCGGCTTCGCTAAACTTCATAAGATTACATCAATAACTATAATAATAATAAATTATTATTAAATCATAAAACGCGTAACAGACCAGTAGTTGATGTACATCTAAATAGGAATGCAACGAAACGGAATTTGCATAGGCTGTCCATTCATATTCTATAGCCTATAGCATAGGCCTATGTAATCCAAATTCATTATCTGTTATTATATATTATAATATTGCACAGGCTATATATAATTATATGGTAGCCTAAATAATTCGAACGTCTTTTTTGGCCTGAGCGTAAGATTAGGTTCTGTTTTGTTGCTGCATGGAGCTACTGTGAAATGAGCCTCTTGTGCGCGCTTATCTGGCGCCTGTCTAATGATTTGCAGACAAACAGTACCTATATGTGATGATCAAATGTGCTGAAGGATAAAGAGGTTCGCAGTTATTTCCCTGGGAATCTGCGTGGGTCTCGTCACAGTGGCCTTGTGCATAGACACAGTTTTGATTTATGACACATGATAGCGAGCTCATTTGCTTTTTTGTTAATATTTACCCAAAGTTCCAAACCCTGTGCACAGTGTCGTTCTTCTTTTATACGATTGGACTAGTATGTAAAGGTTTATTCACGTTATACCTCACTACATTATAAAAACGACACTAGGCTATAAGCTGAAAACTCTTAGTATAATTATAATTTAATTTAACATTTCATAATTGATTTAAACATGATACATATTTAAATGATATTCAAAATTTACGCTTTATGCATATGCATATTACATATTAAAATACGCTTTTATGGTGTGCTAATGCAGTGTGCTATAGAATGAACGTTAGAACTTAGACGCAGAACTGTGCTTGACATATTAATGATATGAGCCGGTTTATTTAAGAAAATATATTGCTTAAGTGTGTGTGCGTGTTATAAGTATGCCTGCTTCAAGCGGTTTCGCACCGTCTTTTAGCGCCCCCTTGTGGTTTCTAAATAACAAGTATGCCGCCCACTAGGATTTTATTCACACAAAGACAGAAAACATAGGCCTTTTTATTTAAAGTGACTGCTTAGTGTCGTTAAACAAGTGTATTTTTATTCATTGGCTGGCAGTAAGTGATTATAGGCCTATTTGTTGTGGCATAGTGTATCTGAAATGCATGTGGTTGGATTTAAGTACCACGGACAGTTCCAGAGACTTCATTCATATAGTGAACATTTAGTGAAAATTACAATACAAACCCTCCGAAAAGCATCAGTGTTTCTGTTTTGTTTTGTCTATTTCATGTTTTTGGCTGATTTGCTTTGAGAACCATTTCAGAAAAACTCAGTTACACTTTATTTTAAGGTGTCCTTGTTACATTGTAATGTAAGTACATAGTAATAGTAACTGACAGCATGTACTTACTGTAGGGTTAGGAATAGGGTTTGGTTTAGGGTCAGTTGCATTTAGCATGGACACTGTAAAATAAAGTCTTACTAAAAACTCATACTGTGTCATGACAAATAAGTATGTTTCTTTTACATGTTAGGCATTTATGTCTGACTGTTTCATGTCAACCTTTTTTTCTTTCAGCGTGCAAGAGGAAAGAGCAGGAGCATGGTAAAAGCGAGCGGGGGTGCATCTCCAAGAAGCCCCGGCTGGTCTTCACTGATGTCCAGCGTCGGACTTTACATGCAATATTCAAAGAGAACAAGCGCCCGTCCAAAGAGTTACAAATCACCATCTCTCAGCAGCTGGGCCTGGAGCTCACCACCGTCAGCAACTTCTTCATGAATGCGCGTCGACGGAGCCTCGATAAGTGGCTGGACGATGGCAGCTCCAACTTGGCCAACTCCTCCTCCTCCAGCACTTGTACCAAAGCATGATGGAGTAGTGGCTGCATTATGGGGAAAAAAAAAAACTTCGGTGGAAAAGCTTTAAACAAAGAAAACTTAAGAAGAGACAATTTTAGACAGCGTTTGCCCTTAAAACTTGTACAGTACCGATATTTATAATATCCAAAGAAAAACACCAAAGACTGCTTTGATCCCCATTTAGGACCTTCTTCGTTTATGTCTGACATTCTGCAAAAAAAAAAAAAAAAAAAAAGAACACTCCAGTTACAGTTGAAGTTACACTCCAATCACTGGTCGTTCCTCATCTCAACACACTCCCCTAACTGGAGTCTTTCTTTCTCATGTGACCGGTTGCTTTCAAAGACTTTTTCTCATCGATGATTGGTCATTATCTCAAACGTGGAGTGATTGTTATTCACTCTGATGTCAGATTCCAAATTTTGTGACGCCACTGAGGGGCTTGACCGGCAGGTGTAAAGCCTGACGTCACACATTCACCTCTATAGGCATCCCAGATGTTGCCAGGGATGCCAAATATAATCAGGTGGTGTAGAATCTTGACAAAGTTTGCCTGAATGTAACCCTCAGGATAGTGCTTTCTTCCTAATTGTTGGAAAAGTTACATAGAAACCTAAAAAATACATGTGAACTTGCCATCTTCAGTACTTATCAATCACAGATGGTGGAACCAAAGAAACACATGTATTTTGTTTTGTTTTTTGTTTTTTTCAATCAGACCAAACTATATTTATTCCTCTTAACAAGACCCCCGTGACCGTCCTAATCAGGTGACTCAGTAAATGTATTATGGACTGTGGATTCTGTAGCCATTTATATGCCGTATAATTCGTTCTCGTTTGTCCTAAAATGAACTCAATCACTAGCCAAACCTGTCTCTGTGAGGACACAGCTTTCCCCGCACCCCATTCCTGCCTCAGTCCTTTCTTGTGATTATTTCAGGGAGATTTTTGCTAGCTTTAACCTGCCTTTTTTACCTGTATTTTAAATATTTCAATGCCAGTTGCTGAAAACCAAAGATAGACTTACACAAACCAGCACCTGTCACTGTTTCATACCCACATCCATCAGTCAAACACAACTTATTTTTACGAGTTTCGCAGACTCTCATCTAATGAGGCTGAAGAGACTTCTGGGTGAAGAGACTTCTCGTTTATCATTATTAGCTTTGTCTGGGGCAAATGCACACGCTTGTTAATTGTCATTAGAGGAAGCAGGAGGAAATTCAGGTTGTTTTGGGTGACATTTCATTTCAAACTTTCATTGCATACGACCAACTTTCTCATCCTTAGAATGATAAAAAATGTTCGATTGACTGGTTTCTGTCAGCATGCTTTCACAAACCCATAAGCCATGCGCCGTCATATTAGATTCATTGGGTTCATTTCCCATTAAGCTCTTGATAGAAGGCTATTTCATTGTCTAATGCATCATTTTCACGGCATCGACCATCAACACCACCGCAGAGTCCCCATCCGGGCCCGAACCCAATACCCCAGTAAGAGAGAGGGAGCACATTCTATGCATTTCACAACTAGGAAGAAAGCATTATGGACACTGAAGCAGGGTGATGCGTTCGCTTCATATAATAGACTCACTCAAACTCACAAGATATCTGGCCTTGTTGTCTCTTGTGGTGTGTTTTAGCTTTAAATATATATTTGGTATTTACGACTATTACGACATCGAAGCATATATAAAAGAGCGCTGCTTCCTCGTGTAGAAAAGAAGAAAAAAAATACATGTTTAGACCTGCTCAAATTTATAGTGTGAACCAAAGATGCTACCTCAGTCCGTTTCCATTCGTGATTTCTATCAACGTAATGATACCAAAGAATACCAAAGATTTGTTCTCTTTGCACGGCCTAAATGAATGATAAGGTGGATGGATAGATGGTGTGTTTCCACTCCTTCCCCCTTTTTCCTCTTCTCCTTCGCTCTAATGCTCTCTACCACTCATCCGTGCTCATGTAACAGCGCCCTCGGCAGACATGTGTTAAACTCACAGGACGAGTGCCTTGCTTGAACCAAAGTGTTAAACCGCCGTTGACCTCTCGACACCCACCTTTTAACTCTCGGAATACCTCAGCCTGTGGAAGGGCCACTGATGAAGAAAAAAAATGGAATATTTCTTCTCTCTCACCGTGGTGCTTTTGCCAGTGCAACCATGCAATGAAAACATACCAAAGGAATTTCTCTTGCTTTCTCCAACTCTCGCTGACAAACCAAAGGTCCTGCCACCTCCCTTTTAAACGCCCTGCCAAATCTTGCCCCGACCCCTCGCCAAGTCGCCCGTGGGTGCGTCCACCGATTAGGCCGTGCACGTCTTTACCAATATCTGAATACCTCATAGTAATAAATTTCCACAGTTCTGTTGTATAGAGAGTTTATGTGATTAAGGCAGAACTGAACTAGTTTGGTAATCGTTGATGTGACTTTGGGAAAAAAAGCTTTATGAGTATTTATTTTGACGGTTTTGGCTAAAGTGCTCCGTTTTGGTCACCAAAGGTGAGTTTCTGTGATATCAGACTGAAACTTGCAGGAAGGAAAAGAAGCTTATTTTTTATTAAAGCCTTGTGTTATTCCTATACTCTAAGGATGTTTGACTATTCTTTTTTACAGGGTAAAACCAACTGCTGTGATTCTGTCTATTCGTTCACTTTCTTCTACTACTGTGTTGTGATTTCCGTTAATTTAATTGCATTTTTGTATCGCTTAACCTATGTTTTAATGTATGTATTTGTAGAAAATATAGATTTGTACATAGTAGGTTTTTTGGAAAAAAAACTAAAAAACTAAACAAAAAAGTGGACATTTGTTTTATTTTACAGCCTTATGTCTGAAGTGTAGATATATCTATGAATTTCCATTCCTCTGTGTTTGTATGTTAGATGGCACTTTGGCCCATGTACTGATACACTGCCAGAGATCCGAACGGTCCTACAGAGACCTGCGAAGAAAAGCAGTGTATGATGTTTTTATTTGATCTTTTTTTTATGTCATTTAAATGTCCAGAATGATTTTGTCCTTTGTATTTCAAATCCTTGTTTTATGGCTATTGCTGCACATCCAAAGATTTTCTAACCAAACCAAAAAGTGGGAAGGGGGGGGAACGAAAGGAAGTAGTGTAATTTTTGCATAAGCACTGGTGTTTGTGAGGTCTTTTGCTGTCTGCACGGGTATGAACCAAAAGAGGGCATAGTGAGACAATGTAGACGAGCACAGTTCAACTTATTGGGGGCATGCATACTGCTAAACAGTACAATCTGTGGCTTTTGGGATGGAGGGCTACAAGTCCTGCTCACTTTGCTGTGTCGGACACTGAGTGGGCGGAGCGTGGGCGGGGCAGCAGGTCTGCCATGGGTAGGGCCACGTCGCTGGGTTGGTTTTTAATTGACGTGGCACTGCTGCCTAGATCCATCTGATATGTCAATTTTGGTTTTCGAACGTGTGTACTGACAATGAGCAAAGTCTAATAAATCTGTAAAGAAACCAGGAATTGGTGTGTGCATGTGTGGGGAGGGCAGACGTTTGAGTCTAATGGTGACAGTTTCATTTCTGGTCCATTAGCGGCAACAAACAGAATTGCTGAATTGTTTTCAAACAAGTTTTAAATACTTCCCATCTGCCATAGTTCAGATTAACGACTATGGAATTCTAAATTACTCCAAAAATCGGTTATTGGCAAAGCATGTGCTATCATATCATGACCATGTTGCCACTTATATGTTGTTTCAGCTAAATTTAAACAGACTTTGTGCATGGATAAGGCCAAACTGTTGAATCTGGACCCCCGCTTCAAAAATCACAGCATTGTTTGAACCTGTAATATCTCATTAAACTGATTCCCTTTCTGTTTGATGCTGCTAATGGCTAGGACATTATTGGCTCAGATTGGGTGTTTTGTGTGTCTGCTTGGAAACACCATGACAAGAAGGATGCAGAATGATGTCTCTTAGCAGGATTAAAGAGAAGGCCCATGACAGCAGAGCTTTTTGTCTCGCTATGCTGTACAATCAGAGTTGTTTCATTTGTTGCATTAGGTTTGCTGGCCGTGGGGTTCCTGTGTCGCATAAGGGATATCAGATAGATGATCCAGGTGCAGCGTTTAGGATTTGTTTTGTACGACAACAAAGACTGGCATAAATCAAGCCCTACTGTGAGTCAAGAGCCTCTCTGCCCAGAATCCCTCCTACATCACAGTGAAAGACCCAGAAGTGTTCGCCCACAGCATCACAACAGCTCTCTGCATCAGAATTCTCACCCCTTCTCTTCCCAAACCATACGCTCCGTCCCGACCCGCCCCTCTAATGTAGTGTCTAGCTTAGATAGCTCGATGTATGTGAATGTTGGGATTGCTCTAATCATTAATTCCTATCCCAGTTGGTTGTCGTGGAAAAGGAGTTCCTATTTGATAGAAAGGCTTGGCTCTGTGTGCCGCATAATACTGAGAGCGCCTAAGACAATCAGCTGGAAAACAAAATCATGTTTTTCATTTTTTTATATTTATTTTTTTGTAGGTCCAAGAGGGACTACTTCCAGCGATGATTATTATAAAGGAGGAAGGTTTTGATAAACTGAAAAATAAACTTGCTGACATTTTCTTTCACAAACGTAGTGCTTGTTTCCATTTCGAACAGTGCATCTTGAATCAAGCTGGTTCTGTTTTTACACTTTTCTTTTTCTTCTCTTTTTCTCTTGACCTGTTTTCTCTGTATGTTGTGTCTGTTTCAGTGGAGGAATGCAGTAGGTATTACTCTCAGGTTGTAATGCGTCATGCTTTTCATTTTCAATTCTGATCTATGAAACTGTTTTTTTTTTTATCTTTTCTTCTTTCCTGTTAGCTACTGTTCTCTATGCCGGGCAATATCATCTTCTGTGTTTGCTACGCAAGAAAAAAAAAACGAAAAAAAAAACACGCAAGTAATGATGTCACCATGCTTTTTTCAGTGTTAAAATGTTTCAGCATTTCTGTAGTCACAAAAATGTAGAAAATAAAAAGGTTGGGTTTTCCAGCACATCACAACCAGATTTCTTGGCTTTCTTGTCTTTTATTCAATCTTTATATGATATTCAACCAAATGTTGTAACAAATGTAGCTATGTTATAAGTCAACAAGAAATCAAAACATTCTAATTTTTTATGTTTTTTGAATGAGTGCTTACGTGCCAACCAAGCAACTGCCATTCAGATAAATGGTAATTCTGATGGACAGTTTTTCCCGGTATTAGTTTA